GGCGGACTGACCCCCCCGGCTGGGCCCGGGCACCTCGTCCTGCAGACCCCTGGAGCAGCAGGACCATGTCCTGCAGACCCATGAAGCACCAGGACATCATCTGGGACCTCTGAGCAACCTGGTCCAGCGGAAGGTGTCCCGGCCCATGGCAGGAGGGTTAGAACTAGATGATCTTGAAGGTCCCTTCCAACCCAGGTCATTCTGATTCTCATCCTGCAAACCCCATGGAGCACTGGAAACACATTCTACAAATCCATGGAGCACCAGGATCACATCTTATAAACACATGTGCACCTTTACTCATCCCCACAGGGCTCACCATCCCCCAGCAATGCTCTTGCAGTGTCTATACACAGGGGAATAGGGACCTGTGCCCACCCTGCAGGGCACAGCCTATTCCTGGCTCTTCACAGCGGCAGGGGAAGGGCTGACACCTCCTCTAAGCACTCGTCATAGATCTCCTGGTACTCCTCGTGGGGTTTGATCAGGATCACAGACGTCGGGCGCTTTGATCCTCCTGCAGCTCCAAGGTCCTGAGGGAACAGAGTGAGCTCAGAAGGTGACAGGTCCCTTCCCGACCGGAGAGGCTTGAGACCAGTACACTCCATGTCCTGGTCTAATCCAGGGAGCGTCTTCGCCTTGTGCTCTGGAATTGTACTGGGTTCAAGAGTTCTTTTCCCAGCTCATCTCCTATGTCCTGGAAGTGAAGCACTGGGCTGGCACAAGGGGCAGGAACATGGCACAAGGGGCTGGCATGTGGCTCATGTGCCGTCCAGAGCAGGTCTGCAGAGCTGCCTGTGCTGGGGATAAGCTCCACAGGCACCAATCCCCCACCAATTTCCAGCCCACAAAGGGAAGCTTGGTCCCAGCTCACAGTTAAGGAAGAAAATGTATCCTGGCTCTGCCCCAGGGAGCTCCCGTTCCCAGTAGCTTCAAGGACTCGATCATGGCACATGCAGGATCACAGCTCTGTGATGGCACAGCAAAACTTTCCTGCACCTGCCCCCAGTCCCTGCTGTGCCCTGGCCAGGGTGGCCAGGGATGAGCACAAGGTCTTTACTCAGGCACTGGATCTGCACCTCCCCGGGATAACTGGAGTCACAGCTGCCCACCGGGACCCTGCCCGGGGCCAGTCCTGCCCCAGCCCCAGCCCCATCCCTCACCGATTTGGACGGGACGTATGCGTAGGGAAGGTTTCTGTCCTCGCACATGATGGGGATGTGGCAGTACACGTCGATGGGCATTGTGTCGCCGGCCAGAACCGTGAT